CGAGTTTCGAATCGGAGAATCAAGTCATCAGTTGCATTCATAAAGATGGGTCATCGCCACTCAGACGTGCATCCGCAACCATTTTGCGGATGATGTACGAGTTTCATGCTCATGACATAAATTAAAGGATTGAAAATGGCAAGACCGTACTTATTTCAATTTCATTAGACTATAGGTACCTAGAATTTTAATTCAAAATTTGATTACCAGAATATTTTACACTGAAGCAAAAATTTTTAAGTTTTCTTTTCAAATTGTTCTCCAAGGAAAAATTTCAGGTTCGGCGAAGCGGTGATACCTAAATTTTCCAGCTAGAAAAATCATGGGATCTTTCAGATGGCATCGCGCCATTTGTGTGCAAAACCGAGTGACCATAAAATTGCCAGGTTCTGCGCGTCGCGACGAGAAAAAGCTCGGGCTTTTGCGCGGGCGAGCAAAAGGGCTTTTTCGTTGTTCTTCCGAGTTCATCGAATGTTATCGGCATTCTCTCGCGTGTCACAGAGCCGTAAAAGCCGACTCGATGGCGCTTTTGCAATTCGCGCGCTAACCACCGACCGGTATCGGGCCCGTAACGGCCTCGCGTACTTAGCGAGTTTTTTTTATCATGTGGCGTGTTATCATCCTACGATCGATCTCGTCCTTCGACGAAGCCGAGTCATAGTTGTCTCGTCGGTTCATATTATCTGAATTAGACAGGTGACTTTTAGAGATGCGCGTGTTTACACTGGCGCACAACGATTCGTTTCCTGAAGTAAGAGGAAACATATAGAAGTATTATACCCATGGCGCCTCTAGGTTCTCCTCTTATCTCAGGAAACGAATCGTTTGCCGCCAGTGTACACTCGATAAAGCTTACTTATCTACACAAATACAAACATTCTTCATAAAAGAACGCAAATATAGGGACTTTATTTGGAAAATAGAAAATGTATTTTTGCTGGCATAGTGCATAGTTAAAAAATGGATGGTTTTGCATGAATTACAGATGACACGCTATCGTATCAGGCACTACCTCCTTCGCGTTTTTAGCGCTGTGCACGTTGGTGCCAGGCAACAGCGCGTTAGTTCGCTTCGCGAAAATAATCCTGATGACGCCGTTTTCGTTGCGTGAATCATTTTTTTTGTTGTGCAGTTAACGCTGAATTTGCATTTCTTTTCACGAAGGACGTATAATGTAACGCGATTATTATGCAGATTTTCGATTTTAGTGTGTGCGTTAATATCTCAAAAAAAAAAGCTCTCAATAAAATAACGTAAAAATATGAAGTGAGTGCAAAACATTTAGTGGAGAAACAAAAACAATAGAGAGTGAATTAACTCTCTGTATTGAAGAGATCCGCTTTTACGCGGTTTCAAGAATATATCTTACATTGATCGTAAAATTCATAGATGAGAGAACGTGGGAAATCTTTATTCTACAGTAATCTCGTGGAGCTCGCGGCGAAGAAAGAGCGCGTGAATGCACCATTACTCGTATATGCATCTCGCAAGTTAATCCTATCTGTGACGTTGGCTCGTAAATAAGCGGTCATTACCAAAGAGAAGATGATCTTGCGGTCGTGTACGCATCTCGACGATCGATCCGGTCGTAAAAGCACGCTCTTCAGCGACGCGAGGTAAATTCCGCACACAAGAAATTACGATAGAATATATATATGTATATGTATTCCCGCGGGCGGGAGTTACTTCGCTTCTGTTTCGTTCCATTTAATTTGCTTGAGCGAGCTGAATCGAACCGCGCCGCGCGCTACCATTTTATCACCTCGCACGTTCTCCGACGTGCCCTGACCATCCTTATATTTCGAAAGACAAAGCGTGTACGGTATATCGCGAATGCACGGCGATTCGCGAGCGCGAGCATGCGGTAGCACGGCAGTCGCAACATTAATAATTCAACAAAGCGCGCGCAGAGTGGCGGACTTAGGCTTCTCGGCGTTATAAATATTTAGATCGTCGCGGAGATCGCGCGTGTCCGGAGAATGGTCCGAAATAAGATGAAAGATTGCGAGAAGGGAGATACATGGATCAAAGTTAAGTGAGGGAACTTTTTGTAATTATTTTAGATGAAACTGAACATACTGAGGTTATGCTATAATAACGTAAATATGGATATATCTATATAGTATAGATTGCTCGAAAAAGCTAGCGAGTCAATATTTATCTGTAAATTTTCTAAATAACATGTGATATACTATGATATATATGTAACTCACAATTAGTAAAAGAGGAAGATCAACGTTCACAGCGAATATTATTAAATATTATTTTAACAATATTATTTTAACGTTATTTACAAATAAATTCTTAAATGAGATTACGTTACTGGATATTGACTTAAAAATGCTTGCTTATCCGTCTTATATAGCTTCCTGTTAATTTCCACGAACAGAACGATTACTCGGATAAACGCAATAATTGTTGCAATTATTCTCTTACTTTATATGTACATGCGGCAAAGAGGAATGGAACACTGTTATTGCCGTGACTATCGGCAATTATAAACTGGCTTTTGTTTTTTACACGCAATTTTTTTCAGAAATTGATTATTTACAATGTCTTGTTTTTGCAAAAATTGCTTTTGAGGAAAACATTGTCTTGTGTTCTTTGAATTTACTTTTTTACCGATGTCTGGATTGGTTTTGATTATGTCCGATTATTTTCTTGATTACATAGAAATGAAGCAATTGTGTGTCAATTAAATCACTTCCGTATACAATGTATGTGTGACGTGTGTATATTGAATGCATACCTTTTATGCATTTATAAACACGTGCTTTTGAGGTACATGTAGCTTTTACTACAGTCTAACAATAAGTTGATAAACGGGTTAAACAGTATTGACTTATAGTCTTCCAAAATTAATATTAACTTTTCAATTTGCTTTCCTTCTTTACTTTTAGAACAAGTAACGAATTTATCTTTATAAAAATACTTTTTACATTTTTTGATGTTTTTTAAAACACATTACCATGAAAATATAAACCCATTAATGAGATAAAATATACGTACAACTTAGTAACCAAGTTTAGAAGATTATATTCTTTTTATTCGCATAAATTGATATTTTAACATTTATTACCGGCTATAAAAATGAACTTTGTGAATATACTTTTTGTGAAAGTCTCGTATGTGTGATTCGTTCAGTTTTGCGGTAAAGGGTATAATCAACTGTTGCTGATCGCGGTAAAAGTGCAGTGTTAATATCAAAACATAAATGCAAAGTGTTACGTGTAGATTTTACTTTGACCTAAGTGTTACCTTGAAACCAACATTAATCATGCAATAATAAGTTTGCAAATATCATGCATTAACATATATATCTTGGATGGCGGAAGATTTGAAAAATTCCGTTAGCTGATCGACATATTATTTGCGTAATAAGCTTGGTAATAAGTGTAACGCGTTATTGATCTACTTATATTGATTCGGCAATAAACTCGATGGACCCCGAGTCAATTAGCAACTCAATATTGGGAACAAGCAAGAGCGGGCATAAATAAAGAAGTAGAAACAGCGTTCGGGGGGGGGGGGAACCGTTTTCTCTTCGCAAAGATTCTCTTAACGGACTCGTCACCGAGTGTTACAACTCGTTCGAGGCTTTTCCACAACTTACGCAATAAGAAAACGCGCGTATGAAATAAACGCGTGAATGTGTTTGCGTAATCACGCTAATGCACCGTGAGACCGAAACGAAGTTCTTTCTCGCTTTTACACTTTTATCATATATGTATATATATTAGCGATAGATCTTTTATATTACATTACTAACATTACATTACTACAACACAAACTTAACATAACGTATTATTACCGTATTGATTTTCTCTTTTTCACGTGAGAATGCATTTCTTATTATCCCCATCGATATTTTATTCCTTCGTGATCCCTCGATAAATTGCTACCCTGACGCGACCTTTCTCATTTCCTGACCTCGGAACCTTGACCCAGACTTTCTCTCATGACAATCGATCAATCAAATACTAAACTACCTGAACTATGATATTGATTAATCGCGCGATTTTGTAACTTGGGTGATAATTAATTAGTTGCTGCTTTTAACTTGGATCGCGACAGATTATTCATATCTTGTATACGGTTAAGACGGGTAGCATATTATTGCTCGTAAACTGTCAACTCAGCTGATCACTTCGCATCATCGGACGTTGGTCAGCAGGACGCTAGCAAAGCAGAATTGTAAATCTTCGCGTTGAAAAACTGCTTACTTCCACCACAGTTTTAGTTTACGACACGTGTCACGTATGATTAAGCATCGCACTCGTAATAATTTTTCGTATTTGCCACGGCAATTGTAAATTAAATTGATGTTGAAATTAGTTCGTTTTATAGATTGTGGAATTGAACGATTCGATTGTGAAAGAGTTGTCAATTATACAGCGAAATGTTGATTTATTCAAGGTTCAAGAATTACTGAGGGCCATTGCATAATGCTCCGGTCGAATGATAATCCGTCAGTTATTACCGTACCGTTGAAAAGTGTTTCCCTATTAGCGATGGCCTCTTACGTATTAAGGTGCCTCTCCATAATTCGCAGTTCGCGAAACGCAAGATACACGCACAGTTTATATGTCAATATAATCTCTATACACAGAGAGGTTCGCGAACTGCGAATTATGTAGAGGCGCTTTTACATCCATCCGGTGTAAGAGCGTAAGATCGATCGCGGTACGCTGCGCGACGGTAAATTGAAGTTCAATACGGTCACGATGGAATCACTCGGCGAAATCCGCGGCTTTTGCCGCGTCATAATCTGCCTTTTTGCCGCGCGCAGTTTCATTTCCTCTTTCTCTGATCGATGTCGATCATTTCGCCGCAAATGCGACGGTATCTCTCTGAGTTTCGCCCACGTTCATTTCACGGAGGACGGAATCCGTTAAAACAAAATGATTTCGTCTATGGAGGAAACTTCTCTCTTTGTCTTGTTTACAGGGATGTTCCCAGAAATACTTTCTTTGTAACTCACGGCATTTTTCTTTTGCTTTCAGATGTCTCGTGGACTAAAGTAACGTCCTTGGAGGAAACGCGAGGGTGAGTAGACTACTTACGCAAATCACTCGGGGAAAGTTTCGCTAGTAGATTCGGCAAAATTACGCGTGCGATAACGATGTTAAGGAAAATGTAATTCGGTCGATGATTGCGTGACACGGAAGAGAAAGAGAGAAACAAACTGTATAATAGAGTCGTGATAAAAGTAAAGAGAAGAAGAAACAGAAAAGCTTGAAAATATTTCTCGATTGCATATTATTCTAATGCATATATAATGCCTTCATTGAATATTTGATTTTGAGGTAATAAGATGCTAAAAAAGTAAAACTAAACGTGGAACGGAAGATTTGAAGGGTAATGCAGGCCTAAGCAAAAGATCTCGTCTCAGTTCTGATCCTAAAAAAGATAAAGAGATTATCTCTAGTAAAGTAATAAGTAAGCTGAAGGATGTTGTTAAAGGTAACAGAATTTCAGCTATTGAGCAATGGGTGAAGGCTCACCCTGTAATAGTAGAGGGTCTGACAGTTGAGCAATCGGATCTCCTATGTAATGCGTTTCGTGATGAATTTTGTTGGTCAGATATAGAACTAAATTCTGCTAGATTGGTAAAAGAGTTGGCCAAGTTAGATATATTGGATCCCTTTGCTATGTATAAAATAGCATGTATTGAATGTCTGAAGAGTGAAATTGGGCAACTGTTCAACAAGATGTTGGAGTCTTTTAAGCTTGATTTATGTCATAAGGGCGCGAGTAAGGTAAATCAGGCTGGCAACGACCAACTTGCAAGAGTTGAACTGTTGCGCTTTATAGAGAAGGATGACCGTGTATTCAGTTTCTGGATTGATGAAAAATCAGGTGACCTCAAAGAAAATATAGATGCAGAAGATGGATTTTATAAGGCTGTAGATTTCAAGTGGAGTAAGGGAGTGGAACATTTCTATAATCGTCTGTGTTCTGAAGAAAAATTAGGGAAAGAAGGGCGAGAAAAATTGCTAGTTTCTGCTATTGCAAAATTATCTCCATTGCAATCTAGCTATAAACTTGCTGCTACCTTAAATTCCCTTCTGGGTAAAGTCATAAGCGCAAAAGTAGATCATAAGTCACTACTTGGGCTACCGAATAAGAAAGATAGGGGTGTGATCTATTATCCTCTTAGTTGCTTAATAGAGCATGGTTTTCTTTGCACAACTAAGTATGTTATGCAGTACTTGAGTGAGGGATGTTCAAGATCTGAAGTAGAGAAAATTCTTTCACCTAGAGGGTATGCACTTCTTCTCTCATCGCTTTTATTTGTTGTAGTTTCTAAAGATGACTTGGATAACAGGAATGAAGCAAGGTCAGCTATTAGCAGTCTTTGGAAATCTAGTGTATTTGACCGAAATATAATAAATGTTGCCGATCCTTCTAAAGATATGATTGCTTTTTTTGCAATGGAGAATGCAATTTCATATTTGATTGTAGATCAGGAGAACAGTAAGGATACTCAAAGTGCTGGCGATGGTGAAAAAGTTGATTTGGTCTTGAGTATTTTAAAGTTTGCTAAAGATTGTTGTTCAGACAAAACAAGGAATTCTAAGATGATAGATGCAACTAGCTCTTATAATTTAATAGAACAGTTGTATAAGTCGGCGAGAAATTTGAGTTTATCCTCTGCTAGTACTGAAGGTCCTAAATCCACGTTAGCAGGCACTAGTGTTAGTGGTTCGCCTGTTGTAGTTATTAACAAGTAGGAGTGTTTATGCATGGTAATGGTGAAGATCATGAATTAGTTAGGGATTTATTAAATGGAGACTGTGCTGAATACTATAGGAAGTTTAAGGACTTTTTAAACAATTGTCCATTTTTTTTGCATTCGGCTAATAAGCCTGGATTTTTTCCTGCATTTTTCTTTGGTATGTTTTCTACTGCACATGATGTACGTATATTAGGTGAAGATGAAAGAGTCTATTTTCGTTTTGACAATTGTGAAAATCTAAAAATTGCTGTTCTCACTAATGACATGGATGAAGAAAGTAGAGGAATAGTTAGATGTTATATTATTGCTGATAATGAGAACAGCCCTGGATCAAGGTTTAGTGAAGAAAAGAGGCAGTGGGTAGCAGAGAATCAGGGCAGCTACAAGATTTACGGCAAGATGAGAATCTAGCCTGGGCAGAGTATAAAATATTTTGGTTTGGAGAGGAATGTAGGTTTGTTCATGAAATAGATAGATTTCTTCAACGTGATGAACTTGGATCTAATTTTTCATAAAATTAACTCAATCAGAGAACAAGGTGAATTGTTATATCTGATGAATGAGTTGGCAAATGATGACGCAGGGGAAGTACGTGTTAATGTTAAAAGAATTTTGCAATACATTATTGATAGAGATAGAGAAAGACGAGCACTGTATAAGAGGTACAAAAATATAAGAAAGAAGAGGACGCGTTGCGATCGATCGCACCCGATCAGGTTAAAACGCTCTTCCGGTCGATCGTTTTCTCCTTGTGGAAGGTACGTCAGAGAATCGTCCTCTATTCCCGCCGTCTCGCCTCCCTCGAACTCGAATCTCGATAGATCGACGCGGCGGCCGACGCCTCCTCTCCTGCCTACTTTCTATCGCCCTGAAACGTATCCCGAGGTGCACCGCCTCGGTAAAATCCTCCGAGAAACGAGTTTTACGGCCGATTCTCTCACGGCGAAACGCGACGAAACGAGCGTAATTACGCGAGGATAGTACCGCGCGCGCGATCTACTCTCGCGCGCTTGCCTTCCTTTTTTCCTTCGCCTCCTTTCTTTCTTCGCTACCTAGACAAGGAAAGAGCCTCGGAAAACGGGAACGTCGGGAGTGCCGTTTAATCGCCGAACAATCGATCGAGCCGAACGATCGATTCAGCGAAGACGCGATCTTGGAACGATTATTGCGTTCGATAGAGAGATTATCGCGCGGCGATTCCATTATTGGCGTAAAAGATTCATATAAGAACGAAATTTGAAGAATCGTATATAGCATACTTATTTCCACGTGAAATTACAATCGTAGTATAAGAGAAATTTGAGATAAAGAAAGCATTAGATTGAAGAAAAGATTTATCGAACAGAATAATTGCAATTAAACGACCGACCGTATTCTCATTTGTGTTGTGTTTCGCTCTTTTAAGACAAAGAGTAAAGGTCGATTCAGACACAGCCGTGCCGTATCCGTATCGTGTACGGAACAAAAACATCAGACAAGGATACCTATTGTCTCCATCCTTGTCTAATGTTGTCTCCATCCTTGTTTAATGTTAACGATACGGATACGGTACGGGTACGGCACGGCACCCTAATGGAGTCGATCCGCGTGGAGCGATCTATGCGATCGGGATTAAAACAAACAGGGCTTTGATGATAACGGGTGCTATTTTCTTTTACAGTGTCGACGATTACTTTCGCCGTTTCGAGAGAGGGTTGTTCGACGAGCTCGCAAAATAGGTGAAGGTACCCCGTCTCCCTTGCGAAAAAGAGAAAAGGCGAATCGGAAAGGAGAAAAGTGTAGATATTCCGCCGGTCCATCGTGTGCACTGTTTATCTTGGGAATCGAGCTGAGCGTTCGGGCGTCTCGATACTCCGTGCGATTGCTTTCGAAAACGAAAGAAGGATTCCGCAAGGATCGGGCGGAAGGAAAACAACGTGCGCGACGATACGGGAAAAAGGAGATGTACCGAGAGCCGAGCAGTTCATCGGGCAGCGGCGCTTCCACCAAGGGCGACGAAGTCGAGCTTGTCAGTAGATTTCTGGCGCCGCTCTGCGCCAGAGACGAAACGGCCAGGAACATCGCCCTGGCCGCGGCCAGGACCACCGTCGAAGGATGGCTCGGCGGCGTCGGCAGTCCAAATCGTTGGGAGGACGTCGGCGATATCGAGGACACCAAGAGCGGAAAGTTCTCCAGTCAAGACGGAAGGTAAGTGTTCTATCATTGTAAAGTAAAGAGATTCGGTTATGAAAATGTTGTTTATTTTAAATAAAATTATATCAAATTGATGCAAGCGAATAATCGATTAATTTCTACTTATTTTTTATCAACCTCAACTTGTTTCTAAAAGAAACTTATCTTGCTGTTTTTTGGTGAATTGATCACTGGCAATGTTAGGTTGTAATTTTTTAATCACGATCACATAAATTGATCCCTAACTTCCTACTAATAAATGTATAAATATTCGTCGTTGCATGTTTTTATCCATTTGTTAAATATTTAGTTTAATTGATATGTTGTAATAAATTTGATTATTTTATTTTTCGCCTTGTTAAATAAATACGGGCATAACGCTAGAGAGCATTAAAATTATACAATTTGTTAAATAAGCTTGTTTATCAGTATCAATTATTTGGACCATTGATTAACAATTAATCAATTAACGGTTATCAAATAACAAATAATACATGCGGTATATTGTGTAATAAATATACTTCCTAAAATAATCTTGCTTCGCGTATCATAATTTCGATCGAGCGGACATATTTAATCGGAGTAAACATTTCGTTCCGTGCTCTCTCTCTCGTCAAATTATTGGTTCTGGATTTAATATCAGCATTCAGTCACGCAAACACGTAAAACCCGATGCGAATGCGGTATTTAAATAATCACGGGCGGTTCATTAAAATGTGCACGTTATGAGGATTAATAACAAGCACGGAAGGAGATATTATATTCATTTAACCGTAACTACAAGGACCGAATGTTGCTGTGGTTTCCTGCAACTCGCGTCTTTTTTTTCATGAAATTTGCACAGCTTGTCCGTTTCCGTTTCAACTTGTTTAATATCACAGAGCATGCAGGACGATTTTAACTTTCAAGTAATCTTAAGAGAAAGTTGATAATAGATTATATAATGCTAGAAATTGACATAATTAAATAATCGTATCGCGAAAAAGTTGCAAACAAAAGAGATGTCTTGCGGCGAAAGAGACGAGTGAATTGTTTATCGATCATAACAAATCTGGATACTGTAATAGCAGTTTTATGAAAACAAGCAGCAATTTATCTCCTTCCGCTTTTATTGTTCACAATTCATCATTGAACGAGGCCATTTCAAATTACTTTATAAATGATTGCTTCTATTACGGCTTATACATATATTCAATAGCAAGAAAAATCGCGTCTTCTCAAAAAATTTATAAGCCTACGTTCACACATTCCTCTGTTATCGACTTCTAATCGATAATATTCGTGTTTAAACGAAGATACGATATGAGCGTCGAACGGTCGCCGACGAGATCGTCACCGAGGAGCGTGCATCAACAGCAGCTGCTACACGACACGTTCCGAACCGAGGGCTTCTTCCCGCAAAGCATCAATGACAACCCGCCACCGTTCCTCGAGGAGAACAATCCGGAATGCTCGTTCGATTGCGTGGATGGTCGTCTTTTGAACGAGAGGCGATTCCGCGAGCGATATACCGGCGGCGACGGCGTCGAGAGCTGCAGGTCCGGTCACTCGACGTCCTCGGACGAGGGTAGCAAGAGTTTCAATATCGAGGGCAGGTGCCCGCGTTTCGGCTCGAACAACGAGACCGAGAGGAAGTATCCCTGTTCATCGTCAAGTGACAGATCGACGAGCGATGATTATTGTTCCGGCAGGGCGAAGAACAATTACGTGAAGGTGAAGGTCGCCAAGCAAAAGCAGCTGGAAGACGACGAGCTTGACGCGGATACCCGGGTGTATGGCAAGAGTCCGAAATTCGATGACAACCTGAGCGGCCTCGCGTCATTCGACTGTCGGAATCTGAACCGTCGAGCCAAGATCGCCGCCGGCGGCGATCTGCTAGCGCACGAGCAACGCCGATACTACGACGGCGGCACCGACGACGACGTCTCCTTCAATGAGAGCGAGGCAGCGCGCAGCGACGGGGTTGTCTTCAACACTCTCGACGGCTTCGAAAACGAGAACGAGTCTTCCTACCATCAGGACATGAACCTGGAAAATCGCGAGTCAGCGATCTACGATGACATACCGGAGGATTCTCGCCGGCCCCAGCAGGACTATTTGCGCAAGAACGACGAGAGGAAGTTTAGCGCCGGTCAGATCAAGAGGCCGCTCTCGCAGGACGAGGACGTGTCCTCGAAAAGCGGCCGGGTGCTCGAGAGTCCGGAAGTGACGCCCGGTGACGTCGGCAGGATGCTGAATCTCGGTAACGCCTTGGACGGACCCAGGCAGGCGCAGGCTAACAAGTACCTCAGTCTGGTGACGTTGCATCTGCCGGTGATACTCAGGCTCAGCGTCAACTGTCCCTTCCAGAACGTCAGGATCAAATGCGCGGAGATCCTCCAGATGGTGAAGGTAAGTGAAAATTACTTCAGATTTATTTCGGAACCTTTCGGATTTGGCCGATGCGCCAAATAATATACGTCTTTCGTGTTTAAATAAATCTGCGTTAACATTAATTGGCAACTATCTAAAATTAGATTTCAAGGTGGAAGCTGTTTTATACTACAGTGTTATATTTCGAACTAATTCTAGCCATATTTGAAATAAATGTGAATTCATAAAAAAATGTTTTTTATTAGATTCTGTTTATTTTTTGCAACTTAAATTTCAAAATTAATATTAGTCTTCAATTAGTTAAATTTCCGCGAAACACAGACATCTCATTCTTGTCTCACGTTGATCCTCATCTCAGTTTTTAAGAGATGCGGTAAAGGAAGTTGCAAATAAAAAAAGATGACTTATCGTTATTGTCCATGATTATCTATGTGTGCAAATATTGCACTGTGTGCCTTGAGTCAGAGCACACGGAGACATTCCGACATTCAGGAAGAGAAAAAAAAAATCTTTGTGAAACGACCGATGCGAAAGATAACGGATAGCCTAGATGCGGCGACGGTCGTGCAAAGTTTCGCTCGCGAAATCTTGAGAGAGCAGACGTTAGCACAGTTGCGAAGTTTACACTCTCGCGTGCACTCGGCCGAAATTCTTTCGCAACGATTCCACTGAAGTTTGCATTCGCCCGAACATTCCTCACTGAGTATCCACGTACTTGAAGTTTATTAGGCAACACGAGGCAAAGTTGAAAACGTTATGGTCGACAAACGCGTAACGAGCATACCGGCACGTACATACAGGATATCTAAAAAATATCACACCTGTTCTGCTGGACGAATTGCCTATTTTTGTGAAAATAAAAAACATGAAATATTGTCACTGTTTCTGTCACAAATCAAAAGTTTGTTGTTTTAAGACTTTGATTATTTGTTGCGATTTCTGCAAGTTAATTAAAAATTATGGAATACGATTGTATGATCTATTTTTACTCAAGCTTGAAATAAATTATAGCCTTTTTATTGTAGAAAGATTTAATTTTTATTTTTAATTAATTTTAATTTTTGTTGAAACTGAAAATTCTTGGAATTCCGATATTTCTGGCTCAGGGAGCAAGTGCAATAATTCTGAGATACCCTGTATACATTCCGCGGCTGAATTGAGATTGTCCAGAATATTTCAAGCTTTATTTCTCCAGCTTTGCGGCAATTTATCCCTTGCGAAGAGTAACTGTCGAGCGCGATTCTTACGCTGTTGTGACTTCGTATCTCCGCTATTAATGCGTTGCTACTTTATAATCCTCTTAATAAATAAACTACTGTGATATTTATGTTGGAGGGTCTAATGGCTGGTAGCTGTTCGGGTATTAATTATTTCGCAATCGAAAATAGTCACTGACTTTTGGAACAAAACTTGATTTTTTTTTTAAGAAAAGATTTTATGAACTTTGATCTTATCTTATCGCAACCAGTTCCGGAATATCTTGAAAATTTTTAACTAGACTAGTTTGCAAGTTGTCTGGACAGTAGTTGATGACTGGGCGAAGTAATCACTTTAGCTTATAAGCTTGAAAATGAATACGTGGGAATATTCCGACGAAGGATGTGCTTATGCATAAAAGATAAACCGGAGTAACCGTCGGCTATATATTAATGGACTTGTTTTGACTGGCTATTTGGGGAGGCGTTTGAACTGCGGCCTAAAAATATCTCGTACCTAGGCAGTTCGCGGTTAAAGCAACTTCGGCCTATCACGGAGTTGCTCTTTCTGTACCTCCGAATTCTATGCCGGTCATTAATCTTATTACGGCGGCAGTTAATCTTTTCCATGGAAAGAATTACCACGGCGAATTGATCTAATTCATGCGCCAGTGCCGTTGAAGGAAATAATTGATAATACCGGAATATAATCCTATCGGTGTCAAAAACAAGCGAACAATCGCGCATTGTAAATATTCAAATGGGACCGGGACGGTGTAAAATGTAGGATTTTAAAACAACATTTCTGGTCACAGTAACTTTGTATTATTTTTGTATCGTTCTTTAATCTCGGACTTTTCACAAGGACATCGCGCGCACAAAGTATGATATACTCGGCCCTCGTTCCTTTCTGGTAGTGGAGTGAAAGTAGACCGGAAAAATAATCGGCTATCTTTGACTTCTCAAGATCAAAGTAATGTACTATGCCTCTTTGTTATGTTTTTAATATTAATTTCAGAAACAATATATACCGTTATGGATTACTGTGATCAGTTTGTGTATAAATTGTAAAAGTTTGAAGAAAGAAGATGAAATATATATGCATATATATGTATCTTTTGCACTAATCTAGTGTCAATAGTTTCGAATATGTAAATATGTAAACGTATATTATTCAATTTTATAGATGCATTCGCGCGTAATTTTATTTATTTTTTAATAGTATAAGTAGCATAACTGTGGCTTACACACATTTAAAATTATACATATAAACATATTGTCTTAAATAAATTATATATTTAATAAAAGGAGAAATTAATGAAACAGGTGAAAGGAGGAAAGAATAATATGTTAATTTAGAATATTTAGATAGATATTTCAGTTTCTAATAACACAAAAATAAGATGAAAATGTAGATTGCACACGTAGATGCGAGTAGAATCCGCTGTGCTGCTCACCGATATTGTCACACTCGAGAGAGAGGTCGATCGATACAACTTGTGTGTAAAGCTTTATACATAGTGTAGAACGATTTTCAGGCATAAAGCCGGCAGGAAGCCAGGAAAAGAAAAAGAGGCTTTACACATAAAACACAGTGCATCGTATCGCGACATCGATAATCGCGTATAATTTACGAAATATCTCTAATTATTCTACCTCTCTGTACGATCGAAAAATACATCTGTGAAGACAAAAATATTCTCCTAACTTTATTTTCGACTAACGTAGGAGATAAAATGTGCTATTTGCAAATGCGGAATTTCATTAATATAATAATTTTATTAATAAACGAGCACCTCTCGGAAATTCGTATTTCTTTTCGTATAAAATATAATCACAATTAATCAAATATTTTTTTAATGAAGATATAGAACACAGTCAGTTGTGAAGGAACCGTAAATTAAAGCAATTATTTTATGATCATTCATTATTAATTTTCTCAGTCTTTCATTTCTGACTTGAAGTTTTTGACGTAAAGTTTTGATTTATAGTTGTTGACGTAAAGTTAGCCATGCTTAAAGAGAGGGTTATATTTTAATTAATTAATGTTTTAATTAGTTAATATTGAAAACGTAAACGATAAAAATGAAATTTTTACTCACAAAAATCAAATTGCTTATCGCATCACTCTGTTTACTCTAACATATTTTTTTAATTTTTGTTACAAAAAAATTTTATTAATCTTGTTTTTTGCAACGAAGACTCTACTTGAAAATACATTTTGTAAAAATTTAATAAAAGCTGTTTTCGCGATGTACAAAAGCAATGCAAAATATTCGCCCAACGTGGGGCTCGAACCCACGACCCTGAGATTAAGAGTCTCATGCTCTACCGACTGAGCTAGCCGGGCTCATAGGAGAGAGCCCGCATTTTCTCATACACGTTTTCAGAGTGAATAGGCACAAATACAATAAAACAAAAAAGAAATTTAAATTTAAAAAAATTTATTTGTTTCTTTTTTTTTTCTTACAGGAAAGAGGACTTCCAGTACCGGTGCCGGCATTCGATGGACCTAGTGCCTTCGTCCCACTCTCGGAGGTAAGTACTTTTGCATGCGTCAATCGCTTTTGTAGATTAGTATACCAGCTTGTGTTTACGACCGTTCCAATGAGCGTTTATTGAAGTTAACCGAGGCTTAACCTGCTCTTCTGCATCTTTCCGGTCATACTTTTGAAAAGAGATTAAGATTTTTATTGTGGTTATCGTTAATTGATGTTTGTGCGGTTTTAATGGGATTTTGATGCGGTTTTGATGAATTAAACTACTTTGTCATTGATGCAGCATTACGATTATCTAATGCGAAAGCACAATTTGCAATTCAATGCCACATTCGTATAAAATGGCATGTACTTTGAGATAAATAAGAGTAAATGTGTATTAAATGATGAAGCGATGAAGAATATTCAGAATATAATTAGTCGCCTCATTTGCAAGGATAAATGTCACGCTTGCAAAATAATGTTTTGATGATTATTATGTAATTTATCATGAAATATTTTATTTCTAACCATGCTATTTATTTTACTTTGCCGTAATGTCAAACGCGATCTTTCTTGTTCAAAATCATAAACGCGACATCGATGATCACAACAATTGATGCTACGGATAATAAATGTGCGATCGACGGTGAATCGGCATTAAAGTGTGGTTTTTCTGCTCTTATTTTTTTTCTGTTAGAGACAGTTTATTTTACTCGCGATCGGCCGGCGCCAAAAGTGGGACATGAAAAACGAATCGGTTGATGTTGCCGCGAATCTGGGCCATCGCATTAACGCTAGCTACGTCAATGATTTCGCCAGCTGATTGGCAATGGTCGGTAACGAGTCGGCCGTGATGATTGGCGCACGTTATACCGGGTGTTGAATCGGTCTAACGCTCACTTGTCCTTGGTGACCCTTAATTTATTTTAATTATTCGCAAGTCCCGGCATTGTTTGTTGAAATGTATTCCTTGCGATTTATCTATCAAGAGAGCTACATTGCCGATCGAGTTGAAGCAAAATAGATTTTCCTAAAAATATTTTTATTTCCGAAAGACTTTTATCTACGAAAAGAATTACACGAGAATTGTAATTAATATTATTTGAATAGATTATCTAATTTCGTAATTTTTAATTTTTTTACGTTTTTTGGTTGACCGTTATATTCATTAGACCTGCGAATATTAATAAAAGATATTGTTATTCCTGCTCATTTAATTTTATTTTGCAGGAGATAACATTTTTTTATTTTATCAATATACGATAGAAGAGAGGATATCGGTTGTAGTATCGATTGACAGGTGGCGCCAATGATCAAGTTATCGCGCGTTCTAAAGCGCGTTATAATTAGCAATTAGATTAATTAACTGCCGTTCAATAAAATCGGCACGCTCTCAAATATTGAACATATTTTCACGCTTTCAAAAGCCCCAAAGTAAACGCCGTTTTCAATGACGCAAAGAATTTAAATTAGTTATTAATTATTATTGATGTCGATTATTATAATATTGTTTTGTTGCCATGAATTTCAATGTATTTCAATAATGACACTCGAATCACATTTCACGCTCGAGAATTGCTGACGTAATACGTTGCGCATTGCACACATTAACGTGAAACTCATTTTGCACTGCAATTTATGTTATGGCTGCTAATAAACAAGTTTATCGCGATCTATATTTCAAGAGAGATCGCGATCTATGTTATTACCGGATATAATGTTACATAACGCGATAATTTATAGATTATAATATCGAATTTTTTTGCACAATTTTGCGGAGTTTAATAAACGCTATCGTTCTCAGTTTAGATAAGATTACGAGTCGCTGATGCACATGTTTGCATTCATTAAGTAAGGGGGAGGGGAATGTATCTGTTCGAATTATCGTACAAACGTGCGTCGAGCTCGTAATGATTATCCGCACGTGCTGTACAGTTATAGTTATCGGTATATGATTTTTTTCCCATTGCGTGAAGAAGAAGTAAAAACACACTGTCATTCATAAATAAGTTCAATTATCGCATATACGCGGCGTCGCGCAATTAGAAACAGTGCCTTCTAGAAAATGTGGTGCGTGAAGTTAAGTTCTCGTTTCGTTAATCCTTCTTCAACACGGAAAACATGCCATAAAGCCTATTTTTCTAGTAAAAGATCTTAGGCTCGTAATTTTTATACTCTTTATTATAAAGTGGGTTAAAGTGTGCTCTACGAACTGCAACTGCATTCTTGTAATAAATAACAGGTAAGTGTAAACAAATGCATAATTTTGTATAAACAAATCGCACACGATGGTTTTACAAAGATGCAAAACTCGTGACACTTTTAAAAATAGTTTTGTAGACAGAATTGTTGATTTTTTATCACAGAAAAAAAAACAATTTTATGTGGCGATATTATTCTTCGTATATATGTGTATATAATATAAAAACACATTATTAAGAAATAAAGTGAGTTGACCAGACGATAGCAAAAAAATGTTGTTTGAGAAACTTTGTTCGGTACGTATTATTTCTCATGGAGACATTGTCAAGATGTAGCGGTTATTTTCGCAAGATATTATAGAGGACTTTTCGATTGAAAGGTGAGGAATTCTCTCGCGAATAATTCGATATCTTAAATTATTTTTAGCATAGAAAATCCTCTCGATGTGATATATCGCTTATTGATTCCTCTGTCACATCTTTATGCTATCCTGTAAATTCTCCGCGTCGCTGAACACGAAATAACTATCGATCATCGAGAATTCGGGTATCAAGCGATGACGTATCGCCGTTCGATGATTTTTATCATTTTTTTAGATCCGCGCAAGATCTTGTGTAACTGACACGCGATCCATTTGTCATGCGCGTAATATCATGCTCGCGATATCATGCTCGGCATCCTTGAATGCAAGCAAGGATAAGTATTGCAGAAAGAGACCGCATATATAGTGGACTATGCAAACGCGTGTTATTTGAAGATGTTAACTGTATAAAAAATAATTTTGCAATATATTGATTACAAGCGTATTTTGTCGCATGCACATGGAGGTATCGTGTTACTGTTTTATTTTTTTACGTCTTTTCAAAGATAACGTTGCAACTTACGGATTATATTTCTTAGTATTTCTTTTCTTTCGCTTTTCTATAAGAAATTTTATTGCCCTATTTTATCCGCGAACGCCTCCATCGGATCACTCGAAAATACATTCTCTCTTCTATAACTATCTTCACATACTTATTGGTCAATTTCCAAGGAATATTATCGAACGTTCTTCTGCTTTATAGTAGTTCCCTATAGATATCGGGGAACGGGCATCGTGTATCGAGAATGGCTCGAATAAACGAAGTTTCACTTTATCTGGAAAAGCGATAGTAGCTGCCGCGTAGCGCAATTCGACCGCTATTTCCCGAAAACGAATACGAGGTGACCTAAATTTCTGACACTACAGCCAATTTGCACGTCATGTTGCAGAAACACTCTTGGTTTTTTTTTAACGAAAAATAGAATGTGTGGGATGCGAGGGGCGAAGAGAGAGGTTGAAAACCAACAGGAATCTTGATCGGGTCAATGAATATTATTCTTTAGTCAAGCGACTGCTAATAACTCACTTTGTGCTTCATATACGAGCTCCATTAAAGCCCGAATTGAATCTTCAATCTCATTTGTTTTCCTTCGTTTGAGAGTAATTCGCGCAATCTCGTTGATAATGCACTTATGAAGATGGATGACGAATGTCCTACATCTGTGAATCCGATATTTTCTATTTTCGATTTCCAGCATTGCATTGCGTATTTTTATTCCAAGACGATTAAAGTGCTAAACTTTTTTAAATAACACAATCTTTCCTGTGTGGAATATTTATTTATACAATATATTATTATATTACCGCTACAATTAAGGTTATTCAAGATTAGGTCAGTTGTCTATTGTGTTCCGCATTTTATTTCTATAAACGTTATTTTTTTCTTTCGTAATAAGTGACTATTAATTGCGTATTAGAGCATGGTATTCAGCTCGTTTAACTTAGCCTTGAAGCCCATAATACCGAAGCCCTTTGCCGCAAAGGGATAACATACAATTTATTGCGCTAATGACATTAATTAGTTCCTAAACTGGCTAAACTGGTATTATTACGACATTTCGTACGTAAAATTGGAGATATACTGACGCAATATGACCGAAGATGAATCAATTTAATCAAGATAGTACTAATTTCAGGAATCATTAATACCGAGTTTATCAAAATAACGATTTATGAAAAATTTAAATGCAGTACATCATTTTTTTTTAACGTTAAGTTTTATTAATTGGAATGATAATAATTTATTAAACTATCTTTTTTCTCAATACGAAGAAGAAATATACCAGTTACAGCGGAAGTTCAATTACTTTGTTCACATGGCTCCCTATCTCTTTTTGATGACGTCACCTTCATCTATATATGATTATCTACGGGTCGTTGACATCGCGCCTCGTCTTCTTTAATGCGTCAATTGTCGTCGGAGCTCGCGTGCGTTTATCAATTCGACGTAATGGTTCCTATGAATAGAAGGTAGCAATTGCTTTAATTTCGTGGCCCGACGTTTTGAAATATCTCGCAGAAAAGCGACGAACGCGACGTATAACGCGATGGCAGAGACTACCTTATCACGTCCGCGAATTATCTTCCGTTTCTACTCTCATTCATACTGTCGCAACGCGCAGGAAAATAATATTAAGAGTTCGTAATACTCTCTTCTGCAAAGTAACTATTCGTTGTGTACGCATTGTTTGAAATTGCAGTTTGTTCCGGCGCGGCGTGCAGCAACATACAGAATCGGCATGTCATGTGCGCTGTCGCTTAATTATGTTACATCTAGTTGCGAAACCAATAAACCGTCGTCAAAGCAATTTCCATGGCAACGTTGCTGCAGAATTCGAAACTGTAATTCGCTCACAATAACTGCAAATGACAAATCAAGCCGCAGAATTACGGTATTATAATTTTCGCTGCGACATTTAATCCGAAGTTTCAGTTTGCTATATTGTTTTCATTTCCCCGGGATTGCTGTCGTATCATTTTTTTCAGAGGCGAGC